GTTGCATCTTTGCAGATCCTGGGCACAAATTTCTGTTTTTCATTCACTTTTTAGAATCGCCAGGAAGACTGTTTGAATGCGCAGCTGATACCAGATCAAGGCGCAGATATTAGGCTTGGATTGTCACGTGTTTTCGACCGAATAGCATCGTTAGCTCTGGAAAGTGCTGCCACTCGTAAGTGATTTTCTTTTGGTTCTTTTAGGTTTCATCTTCCTAGCTTTTCTTTTCGATTCACAAGAGAAAGTGTAGAATTCAGTCAGCTGTAAAATCCTAAAGGCTGCTGAGGTTGTTCTAACACCTCAAGCATCAGAGCGCCGGAGTTTCTTATTTGTTAGCCGTTTTGTGTGTCGCCGAGACTTTCATTGGTAATCTAGCCGTAAAAGTTCTGATACGGGCCTTTGACAGAGGGGTTTGGCTTCTTTGTCGCGCTGCAGGCCAAATGATTTGCTATGATTCTGCGCCTTGTGAAGAACACGAGGACGCAAGTCAGCCAGGGCATATTCAAAAGGACTCTGTAAAAAAATTGGGTTCGTTGAAACTTGAAGAGGGGATTTTGCGTTGTAGTTGTCCTAGTTTTCCTCAAAGAGCCTCTTGAATCCTCTTCATCACCTTCCTCCTTCCCTCCTCCTCCTCGGGGGACTTGTCCCTCTGAATATGTTCGAATAGTGAATACTATACTAATACTGAATAACTGAATAACTGAATATGTGTGAAACTACTGTATAATTTACGTGAGTACCCCAATAAAACCTTCACTTTTAGCTCGAGTGGAAAACGTGCATCTTTCTCTTGTTGTACAAGACGTTCTGGAAGCTGACAGCGTTGCTAAACTCGGGAAATCAACGGCACTTGTGGACAAAGTTCTAACTACTGCTTCCGGAAATGGTGCGTCGTTAGATTCGCTTTTTGCCCACTATCTCTTATTGGCAGTCCTGATATCCAGATAAGCTATAGAAGTTTTACTTTTAGATTTGCGTCAACTCTGGTTGGGTAAGAACAGCTCGAGGGTGTGGGAAAAACTAGTGATGACGTGTGGAGAAGAAACCTTGCAGTCACTTTGGGAGACTGTTATTACAGGCCATGTGGGTCTCGATAATAGCCGTTCTGTCCAAAAACGTAGCAAGTTCTTCTCGTTTTCAGGTTTCAGAACTGGCCGCTCATCCCTGTGCCAATTTTCCACTGCAAAAATTCATTGCTAGTGTGAAGTCGTTAGAACTGGTGTGTTTCTGACCTGCAGTGCTTTTTAGAAATTTAGAAGTTCTGAAGATATGAGGTCCCAAATCATTGATTTCCATTTACTTTTAGGCGACAGACATCTGTCATGAGACAACTCCATTAGTCCGACAGTTCTTATCAAATGATCGCTGGGGTGTTGCTCAAGCACTATTGCGATGTGTTGCCAGACATGAAGATCTACAGGAACCTCTGCTGAAGGAACTACGGCAGTATTTCAAAGCCAGTAAGGTGAGGATGGCCTACCAATAAGGGTCGAGCAGGGCGTCTTCGACCCGGTCTCACCTTTTTCTTCCAAATGGCTTTGAAGATAAGGGGCTTCTAATTAGGGCATGCTGTTACGCAGACCGGGTGCGAGGTATTGGACATTAGGCAGATCATCTTACAAGGCGGCGCGCCGCGAACGCCATGTATAGAAAATTAGGGCTAACGTTAGATCATGTGGTGACCATGGAAATAACCGCGCCCAACGTTTTTTCCAGGAGCGGGTGCTAAGAAGTTTTAGGAGAATTGGACAAAGCGGTAGAATAGCTGGGAAAACTCAGGAACATGGGGTAGGAAAAGGTGAGGGGGGGGGGGGGAGTGGGGGTTGTGCTGACACCGCCATTTCATACATCGCGGTACGCCATCCACCTGAGAAACAAAAGTTTCGAAGGTTTTGGATCACTTCATCCTTCCCGTCTGGCTAGAAGAGGATCCCGATTCAGCCCTTGCATTTTTAGAAAGAGAACAAGATCAACTTCTTGCTCAACATCGTCACTCTGAACAAGTACAACGGGAAATCTTTCAATGTTAACGATTCGCACTTACATGTGAGTTTACTTATGTTTCTGAAGTCATTGTCGCCAATAAAGAAGAACGCACTACGCGGTATCTAAACTTCTTCTTGATGGTGTTAGCCCTACTCTCCCGTTGAGTTCGGTACTCTTCTATCTTCTATCCAAGACTCCTGCCGTGGCCTCGAGTTTAGATGTGGCAAGAGAATCGTAATTCGCCGCGCTTGTGGGAGTCGCGTGCGACGTCGCGCCCGCAAATGACGATGGTTCAGGTAGTAGATGGCGACAACAGGCAATTCAGAACCGAAAATAGTCATGAATGTCTACGATGACGGGGTCTACATGAAGTCCGGTGCTCCAATCGACAGGTTACGAGTTAAGAAACGCCACGCTCATCGCCGCGCGCGGCGGAGCGGCAAATTACGATTCTCTTGCCCGTCTCCCGCCCTTCTGACGTCCTTCCACCTTTCCTTTAGGGCTCCTCGTGGTCGCTCGCCCGGGGCTTCAAAGTGCACTGCTTTCATTATCGCGTTGTTTCCCTGTCGGATACGGAATATAAATTTTTCACACACCTTCTCCATCACCCCGCCCTTCCATCCCCCCGCCCCCGCCCTTCCTTCTGTCTCCCTAACCACTCATCATCCCGAGAATCCTCGCTGTGACTTCCTTTTCAAGATAGCTAAACCGTTGCATCAAATCTGGTCTTCTCTCACTGTCAAACGGATCGTATATCTATTTTTAGGGATGCTTGTTACTGGAGGTATTACTGTCGTTCCATAAAGTGAAGACCTTGACAGCTTGCATTGAAGCCCTGGATGCGGCAGACATTGTTAAACTGGTGAGCCATCTTAGCTTATTGGTTTGGGTGAGAAGCATAATCTGAGCTTTGTTGTTAGAAATCTGTATACGTCCCAAGTTGTTGTTCCAAGCTCTTTTCCGCTATAAAATTGCAAGTATTGTTTAAACGAGCTTATTTTCACGTCAGAAAGTTTGTTCCAGGCAAAAAACAAGTGCGGTTCTCATGTCCTTCAAGCTGCTTTCAAAAGCACTACGCTGGAAGAAAGAGTTAAAGAGAAGTTGATAAGTGCTTTCGAGGTGAGTTATAGTCCGCTTTGTTTTACTTTCAAGAGTATGGTATACTTGCCTCGAGGGGAAGATATCAGCCCCCTCCCACTCCCCGTAAACCTCCGCTCTCTGCCGTTATCCTCTATTAGTGTCCCAGGTGTGAGGTTACCCAAAATCCTCACCCTCTGGCTCGCAGTCCTTCCTTGTTCTCTCAACACCTGTTGTCCAACATAAGAAAGTTTGATGAGTTCCCGGAGAAATGAAGCTCGTGACATCTCGTTTTTTGAAAGATCCTTGTCCAGAGTTACCGTAATCTGACAAACTGCACCAAAATGGTATGCATTAATGGGGCCAGCGGATGCTTTGAATAATTGTCTTGGAATGATTGAAATTTGGTTCAGGATGACTGGGGATCTCTGATATCAGATGTGTATGGCAGCCATGTGTTCGAGTCAATGTGGAAATGTTCAATATTTAATGTGAAACGACGGCAGGATCTCATGAAGAAATTGGTTCCAATTCATGTAAGTGATAAAAAAGATGATCTTGAATATATTCTTGTTCTCTACGGACGCTGAGGCGTGTCAGGGAGGGGGAGGGTGGACACGGTGCCAGACAGCTCTCCAGCAATTGTTGAGGGACAAGCTACTGCAATTGGTGGAAACTGGGGTGTCATCGTTGCCGATGATGCCCCTTCGCTAACTGTCGGGGGCGGGGCATACCGTTGTAGTAGCGGGAACAATCGTAGTCTTTTGACCGTTGCTTTTGTGTGACGGGATAAACTTTGTGCTCCCTCTCTCGCTCTTTCGTATAATAACGTATAATAACTCACTGAACCACCGAATATTCGGCTCAAGAGGGTTAGATCAATCCTAAGTCTCAAAAGCACCCACAAAAGGGGTGACATCATGCCAAACCGAGCTCAATGACACGCCGCAGTATCCGCAGCGAACAAGACTGTAGTATAACGCGTTACGCCTATGAATGTTATATCATGCGGCTTCCCATTTCTCGTCCAACTCGGAAACTGCCCTTTCTAGAGTGACTCCAAGTTCTGGAAATTCGCCATGCTCAATTGTGATATGTATTTGTTTCCGGAAGGATCGAAAAGCTTGGGTCGAAAAGATGAAGAAGTCAGTGAAAGGAGCCAAGCCCTAGATCTGTCTAGCCTTAGTCTTGGCTGTTGTTGTTAGAATCACTTGTTGACTTGTTTGTTGTTATATATTATTGTTGTTGTCCTATAGTGTGTGAGTTGCTATGAGACATGAGATTGGCACAGTTTGGCTTGGTGGGGCATTTTCTGGCATCTTGGTCATTACGTACGCCTCTTGTAAAGATCGGTGGAGTCTTACAAAGCCATGCAAAGGCCATTGCACCTCGAACGTTGGGTATCCCAGCGACGGAGCAGTATTTAGCGTTGGAGGTAGGGGATCGTATCTAATAAAAGTTCTTCCCAACGGCAGGACGTGCCCTGACGATAGCACGAGCTTTATTTACACTTGACAAGCATTTATAGGTCTTACCAAGTTTATACATGTAACTCAACAGAGGCTAGAAGTGAAACTAGCAAATC